AGACCTTACCTGAGTACATTAGTCAGGACAGGCCAGGGTGTGCTGCACTAACAAACAGGTCTCCAGATCTCAGGGCCTAAACACAACAAAAGCTTGTTTCTAGCTCACACTGTGTGCCTAATGCAGAGTGACAGGGAAGGCTCTGCTCACTATCCTCATCCCATGACCCAAGCTGACAGTACAGCCACGATCTAGAAAATTGGGTGGCCACTCTGGCAGAGGAAAAGAGTGTGTGACAAATCTCTCACTGGCTTTCTTTTTTTTTTTCCCCCAATTACAGCTGATGTTCAATATTATTTTATATTAGTTTCAGGTGTACAGCATAGTGGTTAGACATTTACGTAATTCACAAAGCGATCCCCTGAATCGCCTAGTACCCACCTGGCACCATACGCGGTCGTTACACTATTATCGACTGTGTTCCCCGTGCTGTACTTTACGTCCCCGCGACTGTTTTATAACTGTCTCACTGGCTTTTAAAGCTTCCACCTGCAAGTAACACGTGTCATTCCCCCTGTAGTTCATTGCCCAAAGCAAGTCACATGGCCATGCCTGATTAGGAGGGGACTGAGAGATGCCGAACACTCATGACTCCCATGCTGAGCAGGTAGAGGCAGATACTGTTTCATGGAACAGGTAGTCAGAACCAGACAGCCAGTTTGTGCCAGGTGGCCAGGTGGGAGCAGGTATTTTATTTTTCTTCTCTCTCTCTCTCTTTTTTTGTTTTTTTAAGCAAGGGTGGGATGTCTATGAATGAGAAGGCTTTTTATAAAACCTGGGCCATTGAAAATATAATCTAAAGAGCAGCTACAGAAAACAGGAAGGATGCCACACGTGGTATATGAAAAACATATTTAACAACCGTCTCGGGTCTTCCTATTAAGAGTGAAGTTCACGGGACAACTGAATAGGATGCAGCTTAACCACAGAGGCTCACTGTTGTCACTGTAGAATCCACTGGGGTATTTAAGACATTTGGGGACAGAGACTCCTCATAAATTAAAACTATAAGGCATGTGGAAGCAAAGATGGATATTTTCCAAGGTCAGCAGCTCTTCCCATGCTATGCAGTTAATTATTTTGTCTTCAAGCTTAACTCTAAGCACAACTGCTAAAAGCCATATTGGTCCTCTACCTACTATAATCCCAGGGACCCGTGGCCAGGCCCCAGACTTACAGGGCACTAGGTACATGGGCGTGGACTTTTTGAGACTAAATGTTCCACCTGTATATGTGTTTCCTGTTCTTTGCTCCTGTCTGGGTCAAAATTTAACTACTCACACTTCCAGTCATATTAAACGGCATTCTTTCAGAAAATCTTTTCACTTCAGCCATATTCAAAGTATTTTCTGCCCTTTACAGGGAAGGGAAATTTGTCCAGTGAAACCTACCTTTGAGTTAAGTCACCCCCAGAATACACACAGTCCGGGTTCTCCTCATGCCTCAACGGCCACGTCCCTTTGCTGGCTCCACCTCCACTGACCTCTAAAAGTTGGGCTCTTCCGGACTGGGTCCAGGGTCCTCTTCCTCCTGTATCTGTATTCTCTCCCTGGGTCTTCTTGTACATTTCCAGCAGCTGTACAGATTGCCACATAACTACCTGTAGCCCACAGCGCTCCTGGGAGCTCGGCACGGTGTACCCAACAGCCAGTGCGCCATTTCCCCTCAGGCATCTCGGAGACCTTGGGGTCTGCAGCCTCGACAGTGGCTCCTGTCACCTCCACCCCTCCTGGCATTCTCACCCTCCCACACTGCAGCAGGGGTGGACTGTGGGACCCACTGTGGAAGTGACGCTATGCCAACAGTGGCTCCTGTCACCTCCACCCCTCCTGGCATTGGGACTGTGGGACCCACTGTGGAAGTGATGCTATGCCGCATCCGGAGATCAGGTTCCAAAAAGATGGTGGCTTCCATCTTGGGTTCTCTCTCTCTGTTGGGTCATTTATTCTGGGGGAAGCCACCGCATGAGCAGCCCTATAGAACGATCCCTACGGCAGGAAACTGAAGTCTCTAGCCAAAAGCCAACTAGTCTGTCAACAGCCACGTGGAAAAGCCAAAAGCAGAGCTCACAGTCCCAATCAAGCCTTGAGATGACAGCGGCCTTGGCTGACAGCTTGACTGTAACCTCATAAGGGTCCCTGAGCCAGAATCACCCAACTGCTCCACATCCAAATTTCAGACCCACACAAACAGAGGATAATATGTTTGTTGCTTTAATCTGCTAAATTGTAGGGTCATTGTTTTAATGTAGTAGCAGATAACTAATCCACACACCAGACGTAATATGGACCGCACAGAACTTCTGATCGCCCCATCCCGATTCCCGATTTGTCCTTTCCCTAGCCTTTCTGTTCTTAACTGACATAACTTCTCCCCGGTTCCCAAGCCAGCAGACTGGGAACCATCCCTGACTGCTCCTTCCACTGCCTCATCCAGTTCATCAGCAGGTTCTATGGAATCCAAACGCAAGCCATTTACTAAATCCATGCATACAACGAAATGTATTATAAGCCTCCTTTGCACAAGGCACAGTATCAGGTGCTGGAGAAACAGCGGTAAACAGAACGTGCAAACCTCGCCCTCCCATAGGTCGACATTCTCATGGGAGGGAGTAAAGAACAATTTACCGACAAAATATATAGCATGCCGTAAGGGAATAAGCAGCATGGAGGCTGAGGAATGCCAGGGGGTGTGAGGGATGTTAGAACATTAAGTAGGGTTGTCAGGAAGGCCCTGCTGATACAGTGAGGTGTAAAAACCCCATATTCTCCGTCTCTGCTGCCACCACCCCAGCCTGAGCCACCATCACCTTTCATTTGGGTTTCATCATAGCCACCTTCATTCATGCCACCCGCTGCCTACCACCCTTCAGTGACTTCCCATTGATTGCTATTAGATGAAAATCGAGTCTTTACCAAGCCACAAAAAGTCCCACATGTCCTGGTCTCAACCCTTATCTCCACCTTCATCTGGAACAAAGCGCCCGAGCTCCACTCACAAAGACGGGGCAACCGCTGCATGGTGCCAATCCTCCCACGCCTCCTTTGCCCTTGCGGGTCCCAGTGCAGGCAGTGAACACCGCTAGGCCCGTCTCCTTCTACATCAGAAGGACTTAGTGATCCACCACGTCCAATGTGTGCCCCGCCACCGGACCCCTCTCCATTTTTCTTTATCGTAGTCCTCTGTTTACAATTTGTAGCTCTTTCTTAATTACAATTACAATTTGTAGCTGTTCCTTCTTCGTTTCTTCAGGCCTCTCTGCCTCCAACCAGAATGTAAACTCCAAAAGGAACCCTCACCAGCCCCGTTCTCCACCGGAGCCCTAGTGCTATCCAGGTGCACAGTCCACACGCACCGAACGACGAATCCGACCCTTCCTAACCACCCTGGGATTTCACCTCCAAACGTGACCCGCCAATATCATTAACTGGTAAATGCAGAATTTTATTTTCACAAATGCAGAGATTTTTTTTAGATCTAGTAGGGACATAGACATCAATTACCTTTATGTGCCTAGAAAAGAGAAGTAACTTGTACAAAGACAAAGGCCGGAACCAGAGCTAGGATTAGGCTCTACCCACGGGTCCAAAGTTCTTGAAGCCAGCAGCCTCTCTTACTGCCCTCCCTCCTAATGAAAAACAAAGTACAGGTGGTGAAGGGGTAACCGCACAGGTTTCAGAGTTCGAAACACAGATTTTTTTTTTCTAGACTTTCCGGTAGCATGGCTTCACCCTGCTGCACCTTACCTGCCTCCTCTACCATGAGAATACTCCATCGGGCTATGGAGATTAAATTAGAACACACAGATCAGAGAAGACCCCTGCTGATTAGCTTTTACTAACTGTCAAAAAAATGCAGGCTTGGCCATTCCTGTTATAACTCTTAAGATCAAAGAAAGAATGGCCCCAAAATGTATTTTGCTGTTTTATTCCAAAAAATCTACATTACATATACTTTAGTAGTTTTTATAACAATAAAGCAACATCTAGTCTCCACAAATGAAAAAAAGTTTATAAAGTAGCATTCATTTATGAAGTGAATTTTCTTTTAAATTATCCTTTTTCAAATCAAGCTGCTGAGTTGCTATCAACAATCAGTAAGTTGTCTGATTTATTTTTTATTTTTTTTATTTTTTTGCAGTATGCGCTGAGATTTCGTTTTGAAGGGGGCTGCTTATTTCTGGAATTGCATCAGGCCCGTGGGGTTAACTGCCGTACACCCTTCCTGTCTACATAAAGTAAAATGTAAGTGGACAAGTTGGCGTCATGCGTCTTAGGGCTTTTTCTCAGTGAAGTTGATCCTATATGACAATGACTGTGATGATCATTTAGGAGTAAAGGCTTGTCAGTTTCCTCCGCCGTGGTGATGATTTAAGCAGGCATGAGCCGGTGTTTCTACACCAGGCAGAAGTTCTCATTTGCAAACGTGCTCCCCTCAGAGATGTCACTGGACCTAAGGTGTCCTCACAAACATCCCAACATCGAGGCGCCATTATGTGTGTTTGGAATATCTTTATGACACAGGAACCTTCAGACGGTAAAGTACAGAGTGAAGCTGAGGCCCAAGGCTTAAGAGGTATGATTTCAAAGCTTATGAAAGGAGAGTGTGCAAGGAGGGGGGGCCCCGACCCCGGAAGAGCTGCCCGCCGAGGACCCAGGGGGGTTTCTGTAGAGCAACGCTGTGCTCGCCTCCTCGCGGGGCCCTCGGCCTAGCTCTGCGCGGGAAGCGAGGCCTCGGGTTTCAGGCCCGGCTTCGCGGGACCTTAGACTTAGAGGCAGCCAGCCACGTCCACGCCCAGGCTGGCCTCCTAGGCCTCGCGCAGCCCCAAGACCCCTGGCGTTGCAGCTCCCCCGCAGCTTTCGGGGAGCAGCTGCACGCCGAAGCGGGCTGCGGGGGATACAAGCAGAGCTCAGCTGAGACCTGACCTGACCTGGGGACTCGCAGCGTGGGACCCAACCCCTGCCTACCGGGCCCACCGCCGCCGCGCCCGCTCCGGCTCCCGAGCGCCTTCCCGCTGCTCCCTGCGCGCTGCCTCCTCCCCCGAGACCGCAGGGCTCACTTCCCGGACCTTGAGAGTCTCCCCGCTCCCCTCCCAGTTCACCCTCCCTTCTGGTCTTCTGCCTGCGCCACCCCTGCCCTGGCCACACGCCACCCAGGTCGCAGGCCACGCCCCGGGACCCGCTGCCCCGCCCCGCCCCGCCCACCACCCGGCCGAGTCTGGGCTCCAGTCTGCTGGAGGCCTGGACTACCACGAGGGCGGACAGCCGGCTTGTGGCTGCCGGGGACCCACTTCCTCTGCAGAAGAGTCTGCTGCAGATGGTCCCCAAATATCCTGGAAGGAGAGGTTCTCACCTCTGTCTAGTTAGGCTTAAGTCGAATCAATTAGGGGCCAGCCCCCAAGGGGAAAAGAAGCAGCTGCATTTCCCCCAGATCTGGGTTCTCCAAAGTAGGGAAGCCTGGAAGATGGAGGCGTTAGTAGTTTTTTGAGTTTTCTCCAAGGATAATAAATCAGAGGGGCTGCACTGGCAATTTGGTGTCACGAATAGGATTTAGATCACCATCCCGAATACAGACAGCTTTGGGTATATTCCTCCGTTGTCTCGTGTCTCTGAGTCTGAGGTTTCTTATGTTTAAAATAGAGTCTGTAGAACGCTTGAACTGGCCCCAGCACTTTAAGCGGCTGTAGTAGGCCTAGTGAGCGTGGGTGTCTGTCTACAAAACACTCTGCTAGGATCAGTTGCCACAATAACGTAATACCTTTAAGTGTTACTGTGTATTCATTTAATTTTCTCCTGCATTCTGAGAAAAAGAGGATGGGTAATCACCTGGGAAGAACCTCCAGTTTGTCTTTCGAAAGGAAGGTGGACTAATAATAATAATGATGATGATAATAATAATAATAATGATAGATGGTGTTTCCTGAGTCCAAATCTGCCAGGCTTCGTAACAGGTGCTCTGTGTGTGTTATCTTGCCTAATTTTTAGAAGAACCTGAATGTGGTAGGATTTCTTTCCTCCAATTGCAGGCGAGAAAGCAGACTTAGAGAAATGCCCATGCCCGCCTGGCCTAGAACTCAGCTTGCTTGATGCACGCCATCTCAATAGAGAGTGGGCACTCTGACGGGAGACGGGGAAATACATTAATATCTTCCAGTCAGAAAAAGAGAAGAAGATAATACAAAGGTTTTATCTTGTTTTGTTGTTGTTGTTGTTTGTTTGTTTTGTTTTATAAGAAAGAAAATGATTGAGAAGTTATCTAGAAGTTGGCTGGTAAGGGCGAGGCGGGGAGAAAATACAGAGAGAGGAGTTAGTCCTTAAGGCTGGCAGCTGCTTAAATACCAGGCACAGAGAAGGGGAGAAAAATAGGGCCCAGAGTGAGAGAGACAAGAATAAATGTAGAGGTTAAGAACTCCAGAGGGATGAGTATTGAGAGAGTTGAATATTACGAGGAATGACTGGGGCTCCTACCGCGATCGTATAATGAATAGATGGATGGAGGGAGCCTTCCAGAGTGATTTCGGTGCCAGGTACCACTTACATTACCTGCGCTGCGACCACAAAGCCGGATAAATGTGTGCCTGACAATGGTTGTTAAGGAGAGGCCTAAAAGTCCATTATTTATAATGTTATGTATTTTACTAGCCCATGCTGCCAGACACGAAATTATACACAAGATTCATGTTAAAAAATGACTCCGGTTTTTCTTTATGGAAGTTGCTAAATTCTCCGCTGCCCACATTATACCTATTGTGTGAGACGGGTGACGATTTCACGTGCAGGCTCTAATTTCCGTGGCTTTACTCCTTAAAAAGAGAGTGTTAAAGAGGAGCTAGATTTTATTTCTCTTTGAAAGAAGTAGCCTCCAAGAAACATCGAATTAATATGCAGGAGTTTTATTTTAGGAATTTTATCAAACAATTGTGAACATGCGTTTTTCCAAAAAAGGGAGAGAAATTTATGCAAATGCAATGTACAACAGTGAAAAACTTCGGTAGCACATAGCATTTGCGTAGGTGCTGTGATTCCACTTCACGTCATTAGTGGCTCAGGCACCCCTGTTAGTTAAGCATCAAGTGCTATCCTATTTAAAAAATAAATAAAAAAAAACAAACATTCTTCATCACTGACCCCCAAATCTACTAGCCCTGAGGATAGGCAGACTAAAAAGGACGAAGAGAGTCTTTTACGATGTTCTGCTATCAAAAATGATCATCTGTCATCAAATCTTGTGCCCACCTTCGTTTTTCGCCTTTCTTTCTAGAAAAGCTTAGCTTGGAGATATTTTTTGAGCCCTAGACTATCAATGCACTCCCTTGCATCTGTGGTGAAATAGCCAAGCTAAAACTCACATTATTAAGGAACCAAAGGTTTCCAAAGGAATCTCTCAGTTAAGGATTTAGTTCAAACGCATTCTCATTTCCACTGTACCTGCTTTTCATTTTCATCATGTCTTTGAATTTTGATGGTACCTGTACTCAGAAACACTAAATTGGCAGAGAGAGTGAAATCAAAACCAAACATCCAAAACCCCTCGCTGTTTGAGTTGAACTTCTGGAATGCTCTCAGGTTTTTCATCACCTAGTTCGTTGTTTTAAGTATTTACACACACACACACACACACACACAGTCTGGAAAGGACAAAATATATAGTGGTTCAGGTAACTTATCAGATGAGCAACAGGAAAAAAGCACAGTAATGGTATCATTTTGTAAATAGTGTTGCTGTCAGGTTTTAATTGTTAATTGGAAGTAAAAATTTATGGTGTTACAGAGACTTTCCTGCTGTAATTTTTAGTCATGGTGTGATAAACCATTCTCATTATCTCTAGGAAATTGATTAGGTACCAGTGTCACCACAGGGCTAGGACAGAGCTTTCAACACACATTTTTTTTTTATCAAATTCCAATTCTTTATACCACCCGGAAAATGCAAACTAACTATACTCAACATATTTTCACTCTTCACTTTGAGGCAAAGGGAACATGAAATGAAAACTGTTCTATTTCTTAAAGAGCACAATTGAAAACACATAACACCCCAATTCAGAGTCTCTTTAATGGTTACAGATGAGTCATGACAATCTTTTGTGGAAGTCACAAGTTCGTCTTTAAAACTATTCTGACTTTATAGCTGCTATGGAAAACGGTAGAGCAGTTCCTCAAAAAATTAAACATAGAATTACCATATAAGCCAGCAGCTCCACTTCCGGGTAAATGTGTAAAAGAATTGAAAGCAGAGACTCCAACTGGTATTTGTTCCCCCGTGTTCATATTAGCATTTATTCATAATAGCCACAGAGTGGAAATAACCTAAGTGTCCGTTGATGGATGAACGGAGAAGAAAATGTGTTATATGCATCCAGGAGAATATTAGTTAGCCCCCAAAAGGAAGAAAATTTTGATAATGCTACAGCTTGGATGAACCTCAGAGACATTTTGTTGAGTGAAATAAGCCAGACACAAAAAGGATACATATTGTACGAATTCACTAATATGAGGTATCTAGAGTAGTCCAATTCATAGAGACCGAAAGTAGAACGTTGGTTGCCAGGGGCTGGGGAAAGGCATGGAAGTTAGTGTTTAATGGGCAGAGTTTCATTTTGAGAAGATGGAAAAAATTGTAGAGATGGATAGTGGTAACAGCTGCCCGATGACGTGGGGATACTTACGGCCACTGAACTATGCATTTAAACATGGTTAAAATGGCAAACTTTATGTTATGGCTATTTTACCACAATAAAAAACGTTTTGACTTTAGACAGCTATTTGTAAATAACTGGTAAAAAGTCAGCTTGAATTTGAAACAGCTATTACTCTCACTAGATTTGCTAGTATAAATAAATTATATCATCATCAATTAAAAAAAACTTTTAAAGTGCATTGCTTTTTTTTTTTTTTTTCCTGGCCTAGCAATTTCTTTTGGTATTCGTGACAGAGAATCAAAGATACTTGAGGGTTAAGTGCTCCCTAAACCCATATCTTCCTCTCCCTGGGCAAACATAGCTGTATTACATTTCCTAGCCTCGCTTGCAGTAGGGTGTGGTCTTACCACAGAGTGCCAGCCAGTGGGATGTGGTCCAAGGGTCATGTGCCTTCCAGAACTGGCCCATCCAAAAACCTTCCACTCTTTCTCCATTCATGGGCATCGTGGAGAGAATTCCTAGAACCTAGAAAATGGAGCCACAGGAGAGCAGGGGTCTGTATCTGAACGGGCCCATGGATCAGAGCCCTGCTACCAAGCCTGACTATGAGAAAATGTGAGTGAAACATTTACTGTTACTGTCTAAAGCCACTGAGATGTGGGGATTATTCCTCACAGCAGGTCACCCGCCCTGATCTCTGTAGTATTTGTCCTGGTAAGAGAACTGGGCAGTTCCGTATGCAAACTGAAAATCACCCTCCCTTAGCCAGTCATTGACAGCTAATATTAAACGGCTTCCACGATGGCGTCCAAGTCCTCCACAGAATTATTTAAGTGTCAGAGGCACCTATTAGCACGCGATAATGTGATTATTGATCTCTAATACATACAGTGTTGAGAGCCAAGCTAAACAGAATAAAATTAAACCCCCCAAA